CCTCAGATGAACGTGGTTAATTATAACCTAATTGTAATAGTAATGCACACCTCTATCCCAAAGTTACCTGCCTCCAAGTTACGACAACCTCTCACTGGGCATGAGCTCTATACGTTTTTTTGACTGTATCTTTGAAAGTGAAGTGAGAGGATTTTACACCAATCAGTAGCAAATATATGCATGAGTAGAGTCACTCAAGCTTACCTAAATACAAATAAATACTATAAAAGTAAGCCAAGGATGGAGAAAAAGTTAATGAAGGCTCCATCATAACTGCTGGGATCAGTCAATGGGCTGAACCTGTCTTCTCCCCCATAGGAATGCCTGTTGGGTTAGAAATGCACTCTGCCTGCTGAATATTTTTATTGCGGACTACAGCTTGTCTGTATATTCCTTTGAATAAGGTTTTGCAGTCAAATACTATCACTGACAGATACCATCACCAACAATCCCTGAACATTAACCTGTCATAATTTTATATTTATAAAGAGTATAGTACCATAAACTGTTCCACAAAATTCCAAAGTTTGACTCCTTCATGGCTGCTAGCAGTTGCCAGCAGCAGGTAACATATTCAAATAGGAAGTCCTACTGAGGGGTCATAAAGTGGAAAGACCTGCTGAGGGGTCTCCCTTATGCCTTTGGCCTATTTCCCTGAATGTCAGTCAAACTTCCCTCCAATCCAGCAGGACTGCTCAACAAAGGGTCCCTGCAACAGGACGCTGACAGACTGGTCAGGCACAAGGATCTCAGCTTTCCTGAGCCACTGACAGACAAATTAATTACTGTGGGTCAAGGAAGTCTTCCCTTTTCACGTGATGGTTCTTCAACCACAAGGTTGTGATTCCTTGCAGAAGCTCTAAGACTGCAGACATGCATGTGCCAGTGGGGCCTGGAGCATGAGCCTACCTAGAAAACTGTTGGTAGCTACTGTAAACATGATCACTCACTCTTTCACACTCCAATGACAGTACTTACTAAATCTCCCTCACTAAATCTTCCCTTCAGTGAAAGCCCAGACACTTTGTTCAGAATACTACTGTGATGGGTGGACTCTGGTTAGATGGCAGGTGCCATCCAACCACAGCCTCTCTATCAATCACTTCCCTTCTCAGCTAGATAAAATATAAAAAAGCTCATGAGCTGAGATAAGGACAGAGAGACATCAGAGGGAAAAAAGGGAGGGAAAAATTAATTGAATTTATTACCGATAAAAATCAGAATAGGGTAATGAGAAGTAAAACAAGTCTTTAAAACACCTTTCCCCCATCCCTTTCTCCTTCCCAGGAAAAATTCTATTCCCCATTCTCTCCCTCCTCCCCACCAGTAGTGCATGAAGATGAGAACAGAAGTTACAGTCAGTTCATGCCACTGCTTCCCCCTCAGGAAGAGGAGTCCTTGTGCTGCTGCAGCATGAGATCCCTTCTACAGGAGGCAGTTCTCCATTAATTTTTCCAATATGGGTCCTTCTCACAGGCTGTGGTTCTTCATGAGCTGCTCCAGTGTGAGGTACCTTCCCTGGGATCAGTCCTTCAGGAACTGCTTTAAAGTTAGTCCCCTGTGAGGTCACAAGACCTACCAGGAAACCTGCTCTTCTCGCCACAGGCCCAGAGGTCCTTCCAGGACCTGGTCCAACATGGGGCTCTTCCACAAGCTGCAGGTAGATTTGTGCTTCGCTCCTGCAGACCTCCATGCGCTCCAGGACGACAATCTGCTTCACTATGGCCTGCATCATGGGCTGCAGGAAAATCTCAGGTCCAGTACCTGGAACACCTCCTCCCTCTCCTTCTTAGCTGACTTTGGTGTCTACAGAAGTGTTTCTCTCACATATTCTCAGTCCTCACTTCTCTGGCTGCAATTGCTTCTGCCCAATAACTTTTCCTTCTTAAATATGTTATCCCAGACATGTTACTACCATGGCTGAAGGTCTCAGGCTTGGCCAGTGGCATCCTGGTGCCGGCTGGCATTGTCTCTGCCAGACATGGGGGAAGCTTCCCTCAGCTTCTCAAAGAAGAAGCCATTCCTGTAGCCTCCCTGCTACCAAGACCTTGCCGTGCAAACCAATACACATATGAACATCACAGAAGCCTAAATATAAGCAACAATAAGTCCAATCTAAAGTTTTGTTACTAGTCTGCACATTCTTTCTCCTGCACAGGAAAAACATGCCAACTATGGCATAGGCACTCTGTTGAACATTTCCTGCATTCTTCTTTCCTTCTGGTTCTCTTCCCAGATTCAAAGGAGCTTCTGATCATGACCTTATCTAATGAACAGTGAACAAGACACAGTTTGCTGAGCTTCTATCCATGCTGAATCACTCTTCCCATTGTGTATAAAATCAGAGTCATTTATGGCAGCACTGATCTAGAGTATCAGCTTCACTCCAGCCTTCTCATTATACAGCACAATTCACAAGTCACCTTGGTGAGTTGTTTCTTTCAATTAGATTGTCTCCTCAAGAACAAGAAGAAAGACCAATAAAGGATGTGTGAAGCAATAATATTAGGATCACCTTCAAATACTTCATTTATAGAGTCACAGAATGGTTTGGGCAGGACGGGACTTCAAAGATCATCTTGCTTCAGCCCCATGCCATGGGGCTAGATCGAGTTACTCCAAGCCTTGTTTAGTGTGGCCTTGAATATTCCCAGCGACTCAATTGTATGAGAGGAGAATAAGTAGGACCATGAGTATATAAAATATTTGATCTCTCAAGTAATTCTTCTACTTTGGGAAACTGAGTAGCATATTTTCTCTGGTTACAGAAGCTGCTCCAAACTGCTGACTTGTTTGCTAGAGTTCTTTGATCACAGAAAGCTCAAACAGCTGCAGCTGAGGACAGATTTGTCACTGTCAGACTGGTTTTTCTTTCAGTTCTTGTGGTCTTATGACTTAAGCTGCTTCTGTAGAGACTACCAAATCCGAGCACATGTGGTATGGACCATGCTGGTAAACCATACCGGTGTTTATGAACCAATATGATGACAAGAACAGTACAAGTTACATTCTTTTGTTCGTTCCCTACACTAATAACTGCTTGAAATTCTTCTTTTCTATGTCAGAATATTTCCTTCACACTCCACCACCCAGTTCTGCTAGTGCTCTTCACAAACTTGGCGTTACATTTAGTCCGTTTCAAACTGATAATCTGGGACACAGAACAAAAAGGAAATTTGTGTCCTGAAATTTGGCCTTTAAATTTTAGAAAGACAAGTCAAATACTGCCACCCAGATTCAGTTTTTCTGAACCTGCATTGCATTTATGTGGCTAAGCTTCAGTATTTGTACAGGAACATGCACTCAGATACACAAATATAGCAGTGTATTTCTGTTCCTACTTCCATATTCAAGTTTATGGAAATTTCGTTTTGAAAAATGCTGTCTCTCCTTTGTGACATCCTTCTGTCTATTGGCACAGCATTTTCTCCCAGCTTGATTTATACACTATGCCGACGGTTGTTTATCATGGCCACAATGTGTGACAGGTCCAAACTTTTCATCATAACCTCCATGAACTCCTCATCTTTCCTTGCTCCCTCCACAAATTCATCCAGAGAAAGTTCACCTGTGTCAGACACAAATAAAGGGCATCAGAATCCACATCTGACAGGAAAAGTACAGTAATCTAACTTTAGAGACCACTTACTATATAGGCACTGTTATAAGGCACTGTCCTAAAGACCTCAGAGAGTCTTCTTAAGCTTTTATGAAACATACCCAGTACTCAGACAACGCCTGCTTCCTTTTTTTCCCCCATACAAGGGAAGAGGTACATAAGAAAGAACAATAGAAGTGGGTAGCTAAGGAGTGGGATCATAGCATTCTTTTTGGCTCAAAAAAACCTGTCGTAATACTAACCTGCCCTATATTTGCTGGTTTTCAAGGATAAAGGAACTGACAGAAGGAGGCTGTGACAGATAGAAACAAATTTTTTTTATGTCCTAGGCCAAAAACCCCTTGTACAGAGAAGCAGCTCAGCAGCGTTATTCTGGAATAACAAAAGAGCCTGTCAGGAAGTAAAGAATACCTGAAGTAGCAAGGAAAGAGATACCTCTCGGGGACATACAGGGACCACAGTGACACTTGACCAACCTTTGACTGAGCACTTCATGTTCTTGCTGTACTGCCCACAGCAGACCCAGTGAAGAAACTCTGAACTTCAACATTAAATTGCAGTTCTTCCTTTCCATACTGAAGTACTTAGTAGCAGCTGGGGCCATTTGATAATATTTCCCACTTCTAAGTGGCATGAGCTACACAGCAACGTACAAAAAGGAAAACAAAACACCACTCCAAAACCCCACTACGAAATTCATGTGGACAGAACAAAGCTGAAACCAGTACAGGGAACAAATCCTGTCACACTGATTATGTATAATGCCAGGAGAAAAATCGTTTTTGGTCCATGGAGAACACATTACTGGCTGAGAATGCAAATAGAAATAAAATGTGAAGTGAAGAGGCCTAAAGTTCAACCAAGAAAGGAAAAACATTATGTTACTCTGTAGAAGAGACTGTCTGAGCTGGATGACTAAGGCAGGAACCTTACCGTCGCCATTGACATCAATCCGGTTGAAGACTCGGTTGGTGAACTCTTCTGCACTAGTTTCATGGTCACCACCATTAATAGCTCGAATAGCCTAAAATAAAAGAGGAAGAGTAAGCAGCTGACTGACAACTCCCAGACTGATTCCACATATCAGCATTGATTCAGAATAAGACACTCATGTGTGGTACCTTCCCCACACAAATGAACCAGTACCACAGGAAAACAAAGCACAAATCATCAGGTCTTATGGATGGCACTGAAGGGTGTGAAGGGAGCGTGGCTCTGGAGCACAGAATGAGCAGCACAACCCAGAGGACTGGCCTAATTCTGCTTAGGTACAGTTTAGGTGCTGCAGAAATGGCAGAATCAGAATCCACCTAATTGGTCCACTTTGTCCCACTTTGTGACCCTATGGTACACCAAGCCTCAGAAACACTGTCAAACACCTTCCACAAATGACATGATGAAATTCCTTTGTTATATGCTGTGGTAATTTATTTCTATTCTTACTTTCACAATTTTTATTTACATACTTCTTCCTGTGTGTTTGGCTTCTCCCTAAAGCTCACTGGAAATTCATTTTCATCTTGAGAAACTTTAAGCCTTATCCACTTCTGTTTGCTACAATTCTTCTTATTCATCACTACATAGTGCAGAGTTCTCTTTTCTTTCAATGCTAATTATTTCCTTTGTTTAAGGATGTCCACGAAATATGTGATTTCAGAGCCTTTATACTGATTCTAAGACTATTCATTTTCTAGTTTTTACCCTTTGATATTTGGTCATTTTATTCATTCTTTTTCAAATGCTATTTTACTGAAACTTATATAACTTCAGCAATTTCTTAAGGTTACCAAAAAAGACACTGAACTACATCCAAAAAAGACAAAGGACAATAAATTTCTTGCCACCAGTTGTTCCCCATAGAATTAGTTTCTCAAGAGCTATCTGTTGCTTCACTGTAATGTTTGAGTATTTCTATTTAAAGCTACTAGTAGGAGGCTTTATGTTACTACAGTTATTGGTCAGGTCTCTTTGATACCCAGCTCTAAAATTCTTATACAGATGAGAATGCATTATTAACATCTTATTAGTGCTTTATCAAATCAATTTTATGACATTTCATATTCAGAAATGCTATTTATTGAGGGTCATTGAATCTTTCCTGCAATTACCTTGGTAATTTCCCATTATCTGCAAAATAATCTGAATTTGCAGCACAATTAATTCTGAGATATTTATAATGATCTTTATGCCCGTAATCCCAACCCCATTCACAATAGCTATTTGCATACAATCCTTTCAAGTCTCAATCCTTTTTCTTCAGGCTATTCGTCAGAGTGAGAAATGTTTTATTATGTTGATATTTAGGAGCTGATTCTAAAAAGCAAACTGGGCGTGGCTCTCCAACTTCTCATGGGGAAAAGGACATATGAAGGACACACTGTAGAGATAGCAACTGAGAGTCACAGGATCTGAAACCTTGGAAAGTGCAATTTAGGTCACAGGCAGCTAAAACATTTTTATGGTTAGCTATGCTGCAACATAAGATGTGGTGATAAAGAGTCTAAGTCTGCTTATTGCATTATACGGTGGTGGGGAATTCTGCTTAGAGAAGGAATGCTTTTGAGGGTCTCATCCATGATCATCCATATGGGAAACAGCAAAGGTCTTACTTGTGTGATTTGTCTTTGAGGAAAGAGGCAAGAACATGACCCCTGGAGATTCACCTTGATGATGTTGAGCAGTTCATGTCGATCAATGCAGCCATTGCCATCTACATCATAGAGCTTGAAATACCACCGCAATTTCTGCTCCATCTTCCCTCGGAGAACGAGGCTGAGGGCAGCCACGTATTCCATGAAATCAATATATCCATCCTGTCAGAAAAAAACGCCCAAATTGTGACAGGAGTAAATTGAGGGAGTTAATGCACTGGAGTTGTTTCACCTTATTGCTCTTTAGATTCACAGCTGAAAGAGAAAGGCCAACAAGTGGCACAGAGACTTCGACTTAGGAAAAATCTTTAGTGCACAGACACATGTTATTTCTCTAGCCACCAAATACCTGGGTTCCTAAATTTATGATCTAGTACATAGAGCCTCCCCTCTGCTCACCACCTGCAGTGAGGGAACCTGGTTGTCAGCATGAACAAAGCCCCCTCTGAACACCAAAGCTGACTGTCTTTGGCCTGTTGGGGGAGAACATTGAGCCCAGCCTATGGGCTGCAGGTTTTCTGTACTAGTCTACTCTGCCTTTGTGGGAAACTGCTATTCCACTAAGCCATAGATCTCTTCTCCATTCTGTGGAAAATAATGTGACTGGGAATATTTTGTAAAATACACAGAGCGTGATTTGATCACTGAAAAAAATATTCAGTATTTAGGTTTTTAATATTTCATTTCTTGACTCTACAAAGAAAGTCAAAAAGCTCTTGTTTGTTCTGCAAGAAAAATGTCAGTTAGTAAAGGTTCATCAGCCCTAGATTTAAAGCTGACTAAAATGTTAAAAACAAACTACAAATAAAATACATATCTAGGTCAAAGATTCTGAATAACAATAATTCTTCAAGAAATAACAGAGAAAAAAATGTAAACTTTCAATTATTAACATATTTAATCAAAGTCAGATGCCTTTCTGAAATGGATGCAAATAAACATATATAAAAGGTGAATGTAGGTGAACCAGCAGACCGCTGCTGTTTTGCAGCAAGGATCACCATGTTTAAAATACTCATTCAGGGTGGGAAGAAGGGTTGACAGGCTGAGAGAGTTATGGCAGGTCAGCCTGGAGAACAGAAAGTTCCAGGGACACTTTGGTGCCTCTTCCAGTACTTAAAGGGGGCTTAGAAAAAGGCTGGAGGGGTACTTTGGACAAGATCGTGTGGTGATAGGACACAAGAAAAATGGCCTTAAGCTGAAGGTGGGCAGATTTAGGTTAGATTAGATTTAGATTAAATTCCTTTAGGAAGGAATTTCTGACTGTGAGTGCGGGCAGGCCCTGGCACAGGGTGCCCAGAGCAGCTGGGGCTGCCCCTGGATCCCTGGCAGTGCCCAAGGCCAGGCTGGACAGGGCTTGGAGCAGCCTGGGACAGTGGAAGGTGTCCCTGACATGGCAGGGATGGCACTGGGTGGTCACTAAAGTCCCTTCCACCCAGACCATTCCATGCCTCTATGACTCTGTGCTGCCCCTCCTTGCCATGCCCAGCACTCAGAACCAGCCCCTCTGTGACAGCAGCCCTGGCCTGGCCACTGTGAGCACCACGAAGGCTGTGGGTGCTGTGGCGGTGGCCACACTGGAGGTGACAGCTCTCCTCTGGCTCTGCCACCTGTGCTGGCCCGATGGCTCTTCTGTGGCTGCTCATCCTGCCAGCCCTGGCCGGGCCCGTGTGGGGCAGCTGGGACACCTGCAGGTCAGTGGTCCTACTTAGCAAGTTCCCTGTAGGGGCCCCACATGTTCCTCACACCCACACCACAGTGTTCCAGCCTCAGTCCCTGGAGGAGAAGTCTTAGTCCCTGGCCCAGTCAGTGCCCAGCTACTGGCACAGCCTGTCTGGGGGGCTGCAGTAGCACGAGGGTACAGATGTGCCCCTCGGGGGTCCCATGTCTTCCTGCCATTCAACATTGGGCAGGAGGGGATGACAGGGGACTTCCAGCCTGAGTAGTAGCAGCCACCAAGCAGAACAGTGATGGCTTTGTGTTACAGAAGGATTTGCAGGCTCCGGCCCATGGCCTCTGACCACAGCTCCGTGACTTCTGCTGCTGACACATCCCATGTTGTGGGTGGCAGCAGTGTCCAGCCAGGGGCCTGGCCCGGCATCGTCAGCGGCCATTCACCCCCGCAACCTGTGTGCTGGGTACCCGCACGGTGGCATTGACACCTGCCAGGTATGAGCGTGTGATGAGTCCCTGAGCCCCTGGCAGCGCAGGGACCCCCTCATCCTCCACACACAGCACAGCCTGTCCGCAGTCCACCCTTTCCCTCCCCATCTGCCTGTGGGTCCCTGTCTGATGTCCCCTTGTCCCCAAGGCCTGTTCCTGCCCACAAAGCCCATCCAGCGGCCCCAGCAGACCCAAAGTGTGGATGTGACCCTGGAACATCTGTCCTCTGCACATCTGGGACCCAGTGTGCAGAGATGGGAGAGCCCCCCACCTGTGCTGGGAATGTGCCGGGAATGTGGACCTGGCAGGGATTGGGAGAGAGGAGCCAGCCCCGGGACTGGGGGAGAGCAGCCAGACCCAGGGCCGGGACAGAGCAGCCAGCCCCGGGGCTGGCAGCAGCCCCCACAGTCCCTGAGCCATCTCTCCTGGCACAGGGGGACAGCGGGGGTCCCCTCGTCTGCAAGGACAATGATGCTGACTACTACTGGCTGGTGGGATTGAACAGCTGGGGAAGAGGCTGTGACAGAGCCAGGCACCCTGGGATCTACACCTCCACCCAGCACTTCTACAACTGGATCCTGATCCAGACGGGCCTGAGCCCAGAAGAAAGAGCTGGTCCAGCACCAGAGCCAGTTGTCACCTCGGCCCCCGAGGAGGAGCCTGAGGAAGCAGAGGAACCAGAGGAACCAGAGGAACACATCAACTTGACCCCTGAGTACAGCCAGAGACCAGCAGTGACATCCTCGGGCACGTCACTGCCCATGGCATTCCCACACCAGTTTCTGGTGCAATTCTGGAATCTGCTGCAGGAGTTCCTGCAGTTTCAGAAGGACAAAAAAGCCTGAGCAGCAGCAGGATGAGCAGGCTCCAGGGCTACCGTGGATCACGGCAGTTCCTGCTGGGCCAAAGGTAGCCTTGGGGCCAGAGGCTTCTCTGTCCTGCCCATGCTGCTGCGCTGCAGCCACAGTGATGCTGACGTGACTGAGGTGTTGAAGTAAAGTTTCTGTGTTCACCATTAACTGTGTTTTCAGCCCTGCTCAGTGCACTGGCAGGCCAACAGAGTCCCTGCTCTGTCCATCTGCTGTGTTGTTCACCTTCATTCTTCAGCCTGGAGAGGGCTCCAGGGAAACCTCAGTGCCCCTTGCCGTGCCTGAAGCAGGTTATAATAGTGGGGGAGAGCGGCTTTTTGCATGGGCAGGCCATGACAGGACAAGGAAGAATGGATTAAATCTAGAGGAGGGGAGATTGGGATGGTGGTGGGAAGGAGTTTTTACTCCGGGGGTGATGAGGCCCTGGTACAGGGTGCCTAGAGAAGATGTGACTGCCCCTGGATCCCTGGAGGTGTCTAAGGCCCGGTTGGACAGGACTTGGAGTCCCCAAGGCCTGTTCCTGCCCACAAAGCCCATCCAGCGGCCCCAGCAGACCCAAAGTGTGGATGTGACCCTGGAACATCTGTCCTCTGCACATCTGGGACCCAGTGTGCAGAGATGGGAGAGCCCCCCACCTGTGCTGGGAATGTGCCGGGAATGTGGACCTGGCAGGGATTGGGAGAGAGGAGCCAGCCCCGGGACTGGGGGAGAGCAGCCAGACCCAGGGCCGGGACAGAGCAGCCAGCCCCGGGGCTGGCAGCAGCCCCCACAGTCCCTGAGCCATCTCTCCTGGCACAGGGGGACAGCGGGAATCCCCTCGTCTGCAAGGACAACAGAGTGGACTACTTTTGGCTGGTGGGATTGAACAGCTGGGGAAGAGGCTGTGACAGAGCCAGGCACCCTGGGATCTACACCTCCACCCAGCACTTCTACAACTGGATCCTGATCCAGACGGGCCTGAGCCCAGAAGAAAGAGCTGGTCCAGCACCAGAGCCTGTTGTCACCTCAGCCCCTGAGCAGCCTCTGAAACCAGAGGAACACATCAACTTGACCCCTGAGTACAGCCAGAGACCAGCAGTGACATCCTCGGGCACGTCACTGCCCATGGCATTCCCACACCAGTTTCTGGTGCAATTCTGGAATCTGCTGCAGGAGTTCCTGCAGTTTCAGAAGGACAAAAAAGCCTGAGCAGCAGCAGGATGAGCAGGCTCCAGGGCTACCGTGGATCACGGCAGTTCCTGCTGGGCCAAAGGTAGCCTTGGGGCCAGAGGCTTCTCTGTCCTGCCCATGCTGCTGCGCTGCAGCCACAGTGATGCTGACGTGACTGAGGTGTTGAAGTAAAGTTTCTGTGTTCACCATTAACTGTGTTTTCAGCCCTGCTCAGTGCACTGGCAGGCCAACAGAGTCCCTGCTCTGTCCATCTGCTGTGTTGTTCACCTTCATTCTTCAGCCTGGAGAGGGCTCCAGGGAAACCTCAGTGCCCCTTGCCGTGCCTGAAGCAGGTTATAATAGTGGGGGAGAGCGGCTTTTTGCATGGGCAGGCCATGACAGGACAAGGAAGAATGGATTAAATCTAGAGGAGGGGAGATTGGGATGGTGGTGGGAAGGAGTTTTTACTCCGGGGGTGATGAGGCCCTGGCCCATGAAGTGTCCAAGGCCAGGTTGGACAGGGCTTGGAGCAACCTGGGATAATGGCAGGTGTCCCTGCCCATGGAAGGTGGTAGAATGAGATGACCCTTACGGTCCCTTCCAACACAAAGCATTCTATAATGCTACAATTGCAATTTATAAAAGAAGACTAATGAAAATTTATCCTCTTTGTCATCATCAAAGTCTTCAAAATCTGGAGGTCCAGAGGGCAGAAGATTCCATCCATCATGTCTGTATTATGACAGGGTGGATTTTCCTCTGAGTGCTCTTGCTCCTTGCCCTTGCTCATAAAAGGATCTTAGATTAAGTGACTAACTGTTAACAGACTAAAATTAACTGATGTAGGCTATCGCCACTAGTTGCACACTTTTACCTGAGATCACTATCACTTTATTTAAACAACAGCTTTTCTGACCAAATTTGAATTTGAGAACCTTCTTATAACATTGTTTACTGCTTAGCACAGGGCTCACAGGAGAACTCTAGAATGCACAACATCCTTGAATAAATTTTAAATTCCTTGAACATCCCAAGAAGGGAGAGACGTGAAGTGACAGAAAGACTTGTGCAAAAGCTGTAAAGGTTTTGCTTTACCTTATGAAACAGTTTCTCATCACTATTATCATCCTGGGCACAGAGGACTTTGGGATGAGAAAAGATATTCTCTGAGGTCTACAGCTATTTACAGTCATTACATCCACCACAAGACCGCAGCTACCCTAATGGAGCCTGTCTGCTGCTCTGCTTAAGAATTTTATAATATTCCTAACCATTCCTAAACTCCTAATGCTGTCTCACATGTCCAAAATAACATTCTTTGTTGGTCCCTAAGCTTTCCTTCTTCAAAACTAACTCTGTGATTTCCCGCCTAGTTGTCGTGCCTCTGTGACTGGATCCTCCTTGACTCCATTTCAGAACCTTGGAACAGAGAATAAAGCTGAAATTTCCCAGGACGCTATAAATCCAGATTTCTTTGTCATTAAGAATACAGGCCTGCAAGCATAGGCTGAAATACATATGGATAAAAAGCAGGCAAAAGTGAGGGCCATTGCACGTTTAAAGGAATTATGGGGGCTACTATTTTCTACCAGCAGTCACCCATCACAGTTAGGAACTGCCCACCCCCTCACTCCAGCTTCATGCTGTACCTACCAGCACCAAGGAGAGCCACAGAAGTTGTCTGCTCATGCAGTGTTAATTTCAGCTGCCAAATACCTGGAAATTACTCCTCTGTGAATACTATAATGATTTCTATTGTGTCTGATTGCTGTGGTCTCCATGATCTCATACAGCAATATTTTTGAATAATAAGAACACGTAAGAAGAATTATTAAATTAGCATTTTGCTAGTTAAACAAGGCCAAGTCCAAAAATTGGCAATAAGGAATTTTCAAAATTCAAAGATGAACTTGCTCAAGGTAGTTAGATAATCAGGTTTACTTATGTTTATGTAATCTATGTTATTACCTGTACACATTCATTTGCTCCTTACATTTAGCTACTTTACATAAGCATCCCTTGGCAGCTTTCCCCACCAGTGTTTGCAAAAGAAAATGTTTGCAAGAGAATATTTGTGTTCTTTATGTTTGCAAGAGAAAGACAAAGACTCTGAAAATGCAGGAGTTGGATCACTTCTAAGCAGCATGAGATCACTTCTAAGCAGCATAATTCCTTGCCAGAGAACTCACCTTGTTCATATCAAATGTGCGGAACATCTGCTCAATGTACTTATTGGCCTCTGGATCCAGCCCTCGAAGCCCAAAGAACTGCTTAAATTCATGCTCTGTCAGCTGTCCAGAAGGACACTCCGTCATGAATTTCTTGTACCAGTGGTGGATCTCAACAGCTTGTAGATCATCCACGGTGGAGCTGCTGTTGTTGCCCATATGTATCTGTGGTCACAAGGATGATGCTACAGGAGTGATCCTCTTCCTCCTGTGGCTCTCACAGCACTGCCCGTTTGCTCCTGTCCATGCTCAACACCAATGTCAGTTACGTGAAGGATCTAACCTTCCGCAAGCCAGTTATAAATTTTAATCTTCTTAGAGGCTGATCCACAAACCAGAAAGTTTCAATGATACAAACAGTCTTCTTAGAATGGAAAGGAGATGCAAGATAATCTAGCAAATCGCTGCTATTTTAGGAGCTAAAGCAGAAAGGGTGAGAAGGTTAATCAGACACTGGCATTGGGAGCTATATTGGTTTGGTATCCTATTTTTAATGTTGATATAATTATATGTGAAGATAAGAGGAAATGCCCACAAGATGTGGGCTGTGAGGTTAAGTAAAGATCTGCTCCTCTAAGTGGATTTGAGAGTCTGTTTTCGCAAATAGACATGTTGAATAACGGAGTGTGTAGGACCAGAAAGTGTTACAGAAGTGGCCCAGTACAAGAGTGAGGTTATGTGGGAAAAAGCACACATAAGGAGCACAGAGGAACAATGCAGGGGGACACAAATAATCCCCTGGTTTGGCAAATCCAAGAACCATCACAGAAGTGCAGTCAACACATGAAAGGCTCAACTGCACAAAGGGGAAGGAGCAGAGAGACAACCATAGGCTGGGGAACACAAATTACCCAGTAAGAGAAATAAAGGCCCTGTCCCAGCTCCTTCTAAATCTGTCGCAGGGGAGCCACCAGTCCCATGGGCCTAGAGGTGGCACCCATCATGATGAGTCAGTAGGAGAGGTTGCAGAGGACTCTACAAACTGCCTAGGGACATGGAAAACACTGTGTGGTCCAGGGCAAGAGCATCTGGGGACAAGACTCACAACAGGATGTTTAGGAGTGGAAAAGAAGATGGGGAAAGGGATGGGTCTAGGTGGCATGGGAATGAACAAGCATGAGAAAATGGAGGCAAGGGGCTGGTTGCATGTAGAATGGTGCTAATCAGTATGAATGTGGATCCATGCCTTGGGCCTGGTCATCACAATCTTTCTTGTCTTCTAACACTCCTACCTCCTTTTTTATTTTCTGGCTGCACAGTGCTGTGCTCTGGGCATGAATGTGCATGGGGATTTAAGTGCCCACAACTGGATTGAGTGAGATCATGTCAATCTATGATCACTAGTAAATATCAAGCCAGACTAGTCAGCAAACAGGCCAAATAGTTCATGAAACAGGTGTGTGTGTCTCTGTTAGTGAGACCACTGGAGTAGCTGACTATTAGACTGAGGGTGTAGGGTTGAGGGTGACCCACCTGTCTGTGTTTCTCTGCATCCTGAGCACCCCATCACATGCACTCGAGAGGCACCCCTGTGTGTGTCCGTTTGCAGGTCGTTGTGTGCAATGGAATCTGTACTGGTGGCTGTGGCAGGGTTGTGCACCTCGCAGGCTCCGGCATGTCCAGGTGCCAGCAGCTGGGGAGACCAGGCATCAAGAGGCAGCTGCTGGGTAGGCTGGATGTCTAAGCACACGCTCTCTCTGTGCTTGCCATTGATGGACCTTCAGAATCACAGAATAGTTTTGGCTGAAGAGTCCTTAAAAATAATCTAATTACAGCCCTTGCCATGGGCAGAAGCACCTTCCCCTAAAGCAGGTAACTGGAGGCTAGGCTCCCTTGCTGCCCGTGCTACTTTTGATGGAGCTCAGGCTGCAATCGGCTGGGAGTGCACATTACCAGCCCATATCCAGTTTTGCATTCCCCAAGACCCCCAAGGCCTTCTCCACAGGACTGCTCCCAATTCACTCATCACAGCCCGTACCCGTGTTGGGGATTGCACCTGGCCTTGTCAAACTCCATGAGGTTGGCATGGGCCCTTCTCTCTAGCCTGTCCAGATCCTTCTGGATGCCCTAGCCCTTCCCTATAGAGAATCAGTCACATCACTTAACGTACACATTTAAAGCCAAAACTTATTTTTAGTACAATAGAAATTTTAACAATCTGATTTGAGAGTCATAATAAATCTACATCTAATTACAGAAAAGCAAAGAAAAATAATGTAGGTCAAGTACTTATATACAAGAAAAAAGCTGCACTAGTAGCAATAATCCAATTAAAATTGCAACACATGCACTTTGTTTCTGTGCTTTCTCTGATGTTACGCTGACCTGCCTGCTGCTCCTCTGGATATTAAGATCTGTGGTTCACTCGGATGTTTGCAGAGGAGGAGGGGAGAGTCATGGAAAGTTGTCAGCATCTGGGTCCTTCACTGGGAGAAATGTGATGTTCTTATGAATGGTTTCCTCATCTTATCTTCCTTTTTCTTTTTTTTTTTTTTTCCCTCTCTTTTCTTCCACTTAGACTCACAAAGGTACATGTTAGAGTTGCAAATATCTCATTCTACCTAGAATAACTGATTGCTATTACTACCAATATAAGCCCATGGTTGTACCACGCAAAGATAGATAAGTAAAATAAATCAGCCATAGATATCTGGAGAAATTGCTCTCACAGCTAAAGTGAAGCAAACAAAGTGAACAAAGCTGCAGGCACGGCATGAAAAATTCAGAGCACACCTGGAAAGCTTTGGTCCTGAGGCCTTGTGAAGTAGGGACAGAGCCCGTGGCCATAGCAGGTCATTGGCACACTACTGGGGCCATCAGAAACAGGAATACAGTGCATCTGTGTGCACAGTAAGGGTGGCCAGGAGGCAAGGACACTGCGCTGCCCAGGCCCCCTGAAATCTTGCCCCACCTCTGGCTGGGGCCAACCTCTGTACCAGTACAGACCAGGAAGGGAATGGATCAAGAGTTCTGAGACGGAAAACAAGACTGGACAGGGACTGGCAGCGCGCACATCCCCAGCAGCACACGCAGCAGGTGAGGGGGAGAATTCTGTCCCTCTGCCCCACTCAGGTGAGACCCCACTTGCAGAGCATTCTCCCGTCCTGGAACCCTCAGAACAAGACACATTTGGAGCTGCCGAAGCAGGTGCAGAGGAGGCCACGGAGCTGCTCCAAGGGCTGGAGTCCCTCTGCTCCCCTGGAGACGGGCTGGCAGAGCCGGGGTGTTCAGCCTGGAGAACAGAAGGCTCCGGAGAGACCTTATTGCAGCCTATCAGAATATAAAAATATTTTTATGTCAAGAACTGTAGTACCAGAGCAAGGGACAACAGTGCCCATTTGCACGAGCGCAGCCTCGGCTTGCACATCTCCGGAAGCTCTCAAGGCCGGGTTGAACGGAGCTCGGAGCACCCCGGCCTGGCGGGACGTGCCCATGGCAGGGGGGTGGGACTGCATCCTCCTTAAAGGGACGTTCCGACCGAACCACCGGACACCGCCTCCGGCGCCGCCCGCCGCGGAACGAGCGGCAGCGCGAGCCTGCGCGGCCCCGCCTCCCGGCGGCCCCGCCCCCGCGGCCCCTGCCCCTCTCCCGTCGCACACCGGCCAGCGCGAGCCTCCGTCTCACCAACACCGCTTGTCCGGCCCGAAACGCCGCAGCTGATTGGTCGCTGCCTTGTTATTGGGCGAGAACCGACAGCGTCCTCGGGATTGGTCACTTTGTGCCATGTTGCAGGACAACCATGGCGCCGAGGCAGCTGCTCCGTCGGGATTGCCTGGCCGTCACGTCTATCTTTCATCCGCCGCAGTTGATTGGTATCTCTGCGCCGGGGGCGGGGCCCCGCCGGAGGCGGAAGTGGCGGCGGCGCGTTCCGGTGCTGAGGTGGCGCGGTGGAGCGGTTCGGCGGCAGCTCCTCGGCGGGTTAGAGCCGCCCCTCGGTGCTGACCCCCCCCCGCCGTGCTGCAGGTCAGTGCCTCCCCCTGCCCTGGGTGCTCTCCGCCTGCCCTGTCCGCACCGCGGACTCTGCCGCCCAGCTCTCGGCGGCAGTCGCTGGTCGGGCTCCTTTCGTGTCCATGCGGGGCCGGAACGGGTTGGCAGCTCCCCGGGGCCCGGGCCGTAAGGGGCGGTGGGCCGGGGGGGCCTCTCCTCTCGCTCTGGGCTTTGCGTCCCGGCCCAGTCCCCCCCACGCCGATGGGACGCTGCCGGCGATGCCCCCAGGTACCGGGAGCGCAGCCCCACGCGGGGAGCTTCGCGCTCCGCGGGGCCCGCCGTAGGCCTCCGGCCCGGTAAATCTGCGGGGCTGCTGGGGGCCGTCGGCGCTGCCCGCCATCCCCGTGGCGGCAGGAACTGAAGCTGCGGGAGCCAGCACGGCGCTCTAGTGTTTCCCGTCGCTCCCGGCTTTTCTTGGAACCCCTCCGCACAGCGTGAGAAGTTTGGCCCAGGGGTTGTGAACAGCAGCAGTGCTTTTAATGCGTGTGTGATTTTAAACGAAGGGAAATGCAAGGAATTAACTTCATTTATGTATAATAAACTTATAGTATAATAAATTAGGGAAGAACATTGTCAAGTCTTTCTTTGCTGTGGTTGATACCTAGGGATAGAAATGCGCTGCTTACTGCAGGCTGTGCAGACTAGCAGTGGGCTTCGACTGTTTGCGTCAGGGATGTGTATTTCAGAGAAAGGGAGCCTCCTCCAGATCACTGCTGATCTGTAGTTCCAAAGTCTCCCCAGCAAAAGTTCATTAGTCACAGGAATGCTGAGCAAAAGTAGAGGATGTAAAGGATCCTGGCTCACATCCTGAGCACTGTGAGGGTCCTTGTGTCCTGCTGTTCATTACGGAGATGGGAATCCATATGCCAGTGTGAGCCTGGGAGAGCACCAGTCTTGTCTCTGAAAGCACTGTTTGCTTTAGTGGGGTGAGGCAGTGGAACAACGAATAACCTCTGTCCTTTCATGTTTGGCATTGTATAACACCAGGATATTCTTTCCACAAGTCCTTGAGGCTAATGCACAGGACAGCCACTGCCTTCTGTGCAGGCTGCTGGCTTTGGGACAATTTAAAAGCCAAGTTATGCTTGTTCCTGGTTTTGTTCTCAGGGAGGGCTCAAAGAAGGCAGAGCTAGGCTCTTTACAGTGGTGTCTGGTGAAAGGATGAGAGGTTGTGACATGAACTGACACACAGGTGATTACCTTGATCATCAGAAAATAGTCACTCTGTGGCTTACTGAGCACTGGCACAGGTTGTCCCGGGAGGTTGTGAAGCCTCTATCCTTGGAGATATTCAGAAGCTACCTGCACAGCTTCTGTTTGAGTAGGGAGCTTAGACCAGATGACCTCCTAACTTCAGCCAGTCTGTGGTTCTTTGATAAGATTCTCCTCGAGCCTTTTATTTATTCATTTGTGTTTATTTATTATTTATGTTGTCCTCAACTGAATTTTTTCCAACAAGTTCCCACCTCTTGTTCTGGGGTGCCCAGAACAGGACGCATTACTCCGGACATGGCCTCCCCCATGCCTGGTAGAGAGGATCACCTTCCTCCTGCTGCAGCCCAGGATGCTGCTGCTGGCCTCTGTCACAAGGGTGCATTGATGGCCTAGGTCAGTTGTCCACCGCAATCCCCAGCGTTTCTCTACAGTGCTGCTTTCAGAGATGTGATCCGAGGGATGCTGTCTAGAGCAGTGGCCCACCTAGGCCCGTGTTTTCCCTGTTTTCTCTACACAGACAGCAACCTGTTGCTGTTTACAGAATTGTGGAATCACTGTTTCTTTTCCATTCACATCACTTGCCATATTTGACTGACCTGAGAATGTAAATTAAAAATTAATTCAAAAGACACGAATCTCTAAGACTGGCGTTCAGGTTGTTAATGTCCACATCTGTGCAAATAGGTGCAGATGGTTCCTCTGTTTGCATTTTTAAGGAGGTCAGTTGTGAGCCAAACCCAGCAGGGCTTACTAGCTTGAGGGCGGTGTCAGGTTAATGTGGCCAACCTGGACAAAGGCCAAGGAGTATTTTCTCAATCCAGGTATGCATGCCTGAAATTATAGTGCTTGTAGCATGCAGTTATGTGCTGAGGCCCTTGCCTAGATTCTGCTTTTTTTTTCGTATTTCTAATACCACTTCTAATAATTAATCTATTGGTTCTCTCAGTCCCAGCCACGTATTTTGCATTTCTGACTTTAGGAGGCTGTGGCCTAATGCTCAGTAGGAAGATCCTATCCATCCTCTTCAAGTGTTGGAGACAGTTAGAAAGAGGCGTTCTTGCCTTTGGATGGCTCTTTTCTATAATGCACCATTGCCAAGACAGCAGGTTTGGTTCCCCATTGGGGCATTGTGGGAGTGATTGTTTACAAAACTATAAATACTTTATTATTCTTATGATGGATTCCAGACATTCCAGCTCTCCACGTGAGTATCTCATTGTGTTGGTGAGCAATTGATGTTGTCAGAAGAAATCTCTCTAGCAGGAGTTGTAAAGCTGTACTGTTCTGGAATTCCATGCCTCACGTCTTGCCCAGGGCTAGCTGAGAAGCGAGCAAAGCACCAGGACTTGTTTTGGTGACTGCTGTGTTGTTGCAGTACATGAACAATCCTGGCATTTTGACTGTGCTTCTGGAGGAGTTGCATCCCTTTGAGCTCTTTGCAGGAGCCTGTCTGAGGCCTGGCCTCTTGCTGCATGTCTTTTTGCTACACTAACTGCTGCTGGAGTGTTTTATTCCTTCAGCTGAAGAGACTAAGCTCATGCTATGCAGTGTGAAAAACCAGGGCATGTCTGCAAATCCATGTTGCCAAACAGAGCAGACTTGTCACTTTTCATGTGTATTGCCAGTGACTGACTAACAGTCCTGGAATGCACTGTGTAGGATATGAAGGATGGGCTTATTTCTTTATTAGTGGATAATTTAGTTTTTGTTGTTCTTTTTTTGCTTCTCTCTCCGTCAAAAGT